TATTTCTCTGAGGTCTCAAAAATACAAATCCTCACCAATAACTAACCATTCTGCAAGGTGTATTGTTTTTTCACACTTCGGACGTTTTTTTGTTTTTGTTTGTTTGTTTGTTATTTTTTAAAAAGCTGATCAATTTTTGAAAAAAGAAAAAAAATAATTAAACGAGATTGCAAAGGATTTCTCCCTGAGGTCTGGCTCGAAAGAGCAACATATTTATTGAAAATTAAGTTCAAAATTTTACTATTAGATTTTTACATTCAGCTTGCTCGAATATATGCATTCAACCCAATAGCAAGTGGGCTCTTTTTTTTTTCTGACAAAATGGGCACTTGAATCTAATAATTTGAGATTTTTTACTTTATTTTCAACAACCAATATGATTAAAAAGCTGATCTTATCACTAATTTGGTCATACTATAATACATCTTTTCATATATAATTTTAAAGCACCAAATTACTGTATAAAATATTTACTCACTCTTATGTTCTATTTCATTTTTATGTTATTTAATTTAATTTTTTCTTCTTTTATATATATATGGCGTCAGTCATAAGACCCCTTAGAGGAATACCGCCTTTCAATATATGATACCCCACTAACAAATTTTCGTAAACCAACACGAATCTCGGTACAATTTTTTGAACAAGAAACATTCAAATTTTGATTAAGAGTCATCCGGAGCTCCGATTTCAGCAAACATATAGTCAAACTAATCGGCTCGATGAGACAAACCTAATGATATGAAAGTTAGTCCAATCCGAGTCAAATCAAGCCCAGATCAAGTCATTAAAACACTATTGGAGGAGTTCTAAGGCATTTGAAAGGTCAAACAGATGTCGAATCTAGCAAGTTTAAGACTTATTTACGAATCGAGCATCTCGACGAGACAAAATCCAATGAGCCCAAGATTGCTCAATTTCGACATTGTTAAGACACTTAAATGCACATTGAACGCCATAAGATCAAGATGATCTATCTGAGCCGTCGGACCGTCCGATCAAAATGATTCATATTTCTGCATTAACTGCACCCAAAACATTATAAATAGAGTCTCACCCCTCACATGAGGAGGGACTTAAGAGAGATATTGAGGCTTTGAGAATGAGCTCAAGTCCAAGATCTTCGCCATCGTCGGTCGCAGTCAACCACCACTGACCGTCGACCACCATCACTGGCCACCGTTGATCGTCGCCGATCATTACAGATCTCCGTCGACCAACGTCGACTGTCATCAATTGTCGTTGACTACCATCAATCATCGCCGACCTCCGCAAACCACTGCTAACTAAAAATCGCTCGTCGACGTTGTAGCTTAGAAAGCTAGTAACCTTTTCCTGCCTGTGAGACAAGGGGTATCTGTAATCATCAATTTATAGTGGATTTTGAAAACTGGGTCAGACCTCGTGGTTTTTCCCCTTCACGGGTTTTCCATGTAAAAAATTTCTAGTGTCATCACAACTTGATTAATTTTCATCTGAATGTGTGTTGAATCCTCGCACAACGCTAAGATGATAATTCATTACCCTACCGCCGTGAATTTTCTAGCACGCATCAATATATATACATGTATACGAATAAATTTTTTTAGAGTGACGATTTACGATGCTTCCTCACAAGGAGGCTAGCAGATAAAATTGGATGACACGATTAAACAGCTGATCTTATGATGCATACTACCCAATTCTTTAGTTTTTACATACATACTACCCAATTTCAAAAGAAATATAGAAATAAAAAGGAGGGCATTTACATACATACTACCCAATTCTTTAGTTTTTACATACCTACCACCCAAATCTTCCTAATCTCACCGTTTCTAACTTTTAAAAAACGAAATACACCTTTTCCATATGTAGGGTAAGTGGCACTTATGTAAGTTGTTAGATATGTAAATACATAAAAATTGAGTGGTATGTATGTAAATCTTCCTAAAGTAGAAGCATAGAAATAAAGGTGCAGACATCCTAGTTCATGTATTTCAAGTTTATACTGTCAATTGTAACATTGCTTAAACGAACCAACTCTAAACTCCCCCATGTAATATAGTTTTACTGTTTGCAGAATATGAAATCAGGAAAAAATAACTCGTTTTCTAAAACCAACACGCACTCCCATCAGTTGCTTACCCTCTCAGGCCACCCCGCCGCTAGTAGCTGTCCTAATTATCTGAAACAGAGCTGCAAAACAAAGAGCAAAAGATTCATGTCAGTTTCCTTCATATAATGAAAGCTTAAACAAAGACAAAAGAGAGCAGGTTTGGTTAAGTTAAACCCACATGATCCAATGACCACGAAAACGAAGAAGCCAATAACTATAGGGCCAACAGGATAATCGCTCCCCTTCTTTACAGCGGTTTCAGGAACAGAACCCCTCTTCGTTATATTTTTCTGAAATTTAGCGATCTTTTTGTCTGCTAAGCGCCTTGAAGTGGTCTGTTAGAGAAGCAGAATAAATTCATCAGCTTAAATTGAATAAACGGGCCGCCCTTAATTGGCCTTTAGGGACTAGGAACCCTAAGGAGTATCTCAAGTGCTTTAAAGCTTCAAGAGGACCGGTTTAAAGAAGCAGACATACCAAAAATTGGAAGCCCAAGTTACTGGGCATCAACACTAGCAGAAAAAAAAATGGGGCATTTGCATAAATATCACTCAATTATTTCGCATTTACATATTTAACACCCAAACTTTACTTTTTTACATTTATAAAAATTTAAGTCTGGGTGTTAGATATGTAGATACTATAACCAAGCCAAAAAATGCAACGAATAGATGAAGAGAACAACATGCTATAGTTAAAAAGGCCATGCAAACGCTCCAGAAGGTAAAAAATTTGTAAAATTTGACTGCACTCAGCTATATGAAACCAGATAATCAATAGATCAAATTCATTATTTTTAGAAATAAATACAGATTTTTCATCACAATAAAAATACCGTTTTTACACTACCCTTCCATATTTTGAAGTTATAAGTTTATAAGAGGTGACAAAAATTTCATGATACTGGCATTCAGAAAAATAATTATACAGCTATAACAGTAAACAAAACACACCTAAGAACATCATCCGTTTTAAACTAACAAATCTCAATCTATAATCTCACTAAGCTGCACGAACCATTTTACATTGCAGCAATACCTAACTTATATTATTATATCTAATTTTAAGTCTCACCACACGAGAGCTCAATATAGCTCAATATGGCTCAATATGATCAGCGGCAAAAAATATTGAAGAATATATCAGTAAAATGCAAAACTTTAGGATAAATAAGTGAAAATATTTAATAAACGAGATTTTCACGACAAACAAAAAATATATAAGAAGAATTATGTCTTAAATAAGAAAGTAAATCTTGATGACCACAATGTGAAAAATGAATGAAATTACGGGCCAATTTTGGTCCAGTTCTGTCAGATCTAGCGAAACAACCCAATATTCAGTATCAGTTTTCTAAAACCAATCCCAAATTCAATCAATGTTCACGCAATATATTTTTTGGCCTGAGGATTAATAAAAGCAGAGATACTGATTCCTCCTCCATTGTCTTTCGAGGATTCTGGTAACATCCAGATCGGCGCTTTCAAATTATAGATTTGGGAACCTAACTCTGATCCAAACTACAAAACTCCAACTAGTAATGAAGTTGAAATCAATTTGGATTTGGCTCAAAGGTCAAGCTCTGTTAGGTATGGCTCATATGTCAGAAATTTGGAGTCTCTTGAAATTGGAGAGGTGTGTCTTCTGGAATGAAGAGGTGTATCTCTTCGTGTGAAGATGTGTCTCTTGGATTAGTGGGTTAGGGGGAGCGAGGGCGTGTTGGTAATTTATCTATAAATAGATGTGTAACCCTATGAGTTTGTAACTCTTCTGTAATAGTGAATTCGCAGCTCTGCTCCCGAGGATGTAAGCATATTGCCGAACCTCGTTAAATCTCTGTGTTCTTTTGGTTTTGTGTCGATTAATATATTATTTTCGCCATAAATTTCACAACAATTGGTATCAGAGCGAGGTTGAGGTTTTAGGGCGGAAGAGATTGACACAGGAAGCAAGAGAACGATTTTGAGATTTGGCAGAAGAAGAAGTTCTGGTGGTTTTCCGGCAGTTCCTCGGAGGTTGTGCTTGCGATCAGCTTTCGGACAGAAGGTTGCGAATAGCCGCAGGCTCGGAGGAGGTTCGCGAAGATTTGCTAACAAAATGCTTAGTAGAGGTGTTCGCACCAGTCAGTTAAGGCCGAAATTTTCGCGCGTAAGGATATTCGCGTGTCGCGGCGGCGGGAAGGAGTTTGGTGACGATCGACGAATTCGGTGCGACAGAAGAACGAGATTATCCGCCACGAGGGAATCACACTAGACGAAGGTGACAGGCTTCAGGTCGCAGTTGGAGGCAGCAGTTACGGCAACTGCAAAGAGGAAAAGGAATCTGGAATCTTTTATTTGCGCTAGAGGAATATTTTATTCCTGGAAGTTAGCCTGGAAGTTATTCCTGCCAGAGGAATTTCCCTTGGGGGTTAATTCCTAGAAGTTAGTCTGGGCAAAGGGTGCAC